GGGAGTAAAAAAATAAGTTACAAGATTCGCAACAAATTCACAAACAACATTGTGAACTAAATAAAGTCTTTTTTTAACAAAAAATTGCCGTTTATACTTGAAATTTTATAAATGAAATGAACTATTCAAACAGCTGAGTAATTTGTTATAGAACATTTCAAAGTCCTACATTTATGTTATCCAACCTGTTTTCAATGGCTTAATTTGCAGGAAGAGCATACCTTCATTTTTTTCTTCACTACATACACTCACAAGCACACGCACATTTACAACAACTAAACAACCCCTAAACAAAATTATTAACTAAATAAATGACTGAGATCTTCAAGTTAAATGTACAGTAGTATGTCACTGTAACACATTTTTAAAAATGAAAAACATTTCTAATAATAAGCTTTTAAAAGCAGTGACTACAAGAAAATAAAAAAAATCAAGAGAACTTTGACATATTTTAGCCACCAAATCTTTTATTACAGAAAGCGAATTAATTTTTTATTTTCTTATTTTCAAAGCATTTAAGTTTTTAATATTAGAAAATGTTTTATATATTTTTTTAAATTTTCCACTTTTTAGTAATTCGCTCTAACCAAAGTTAACGCGTCATTGATTGATTACGTCTAAAATGTAGTTGCTTGCAAATGCAGTTATCTGCTTCTGCTTAGACCAGGTTCAAAGCTGGGCACAAAAAAACTCATTGGAAAAAAAAGTTCACCTTAGTTGTTCGGCTGATAGCGCAATTACTAGTAGTTAATCTAGTTATCTCCCCTTGAGTTAGTATTATTTTAGTTATATTTTAATATCTAATCTAATGTCTTATTAGATTAAACAATATATATTCTTGCATTGCCATCAAAGACGAATGTATCTAAAAATCGGTGCATTAGAAGTGGGTCAAAGTTGATACACAAGATTTGACACAAGCCCAATAAAAAAAAACATAAAAAAAAAAAACAACAAGCAAACAAATGGACGTTGCCAATTGAACACAATCTTATAAAAATGAAAAATGCAAACGGCGTTTAGAGTGAAAGGGATAAAAAAAGCAAGGAGACTTGCACTCGCATTCAGAAACCAGGATTGATTCTCTAATATATACGCTGCAATTTATATAGCTGAAAAATTTGACAGATTTATTTGGTATTTAAAATTATGGGGCAAAATGTTTTGTTGGTACTCAAAAGGTTAACCGCAAAACGTTATGACCGCTAACACGAAAATATCAAGTTAGACACAAGTAAAAACATACCAGTGGCGTAGGCAAGGGTGTGTGTGTTGGGGGGGGGGGGGGGGTTAAACCCCCCCCCCCCTCAATGGGTCCCTCTGTAAATTTTTTTTACTGTCTTTATACCTGAATCAGTATATATATATATATATATATATATATATATATATATATATATATATATATATATATATATATATATATATATATACATATATATACATATTATTGTATATGTATGTTTAGAACAGTCATCTAAAAACTGACGCTATGTTCACTCTGATTTGGTTATTCCCCTCCCCCACCTCACCACCTACAACGTGACAGGCCGTAATTGTGTAGAGCGACATTAATGTCACACCTAGGTATACGCTGTGCAGAATAATTGACTGGACAGCGGTGAATGAAGTTGAACCCCTCCCAACCCACCCCAAACTGATTTGTTAAGTACATTTGGGTAAACGCGTAATGAGGTACCAAAGTACCATGCCGCCCGAATCATAGGTTTTGAAACAGGTAAAACTTTTAAAATATTGTTTTTGCAATTACCAGTAAAGAGGTGTGTGATCAATACAGTCATCTAGCCCATACCGTATGATTGTGTTAAAAATGATCTTTAAAGAAAAAAAAAGTAGCTAATTAAAAAATGAATCATCTGAACTGCCAGACCAATATTATAGTTATATAATTGCTATTATTTAGAATATTCCACCGATTAGATCTAGTTTCTCCATTTAATTGAAAAGCGTAGTTTTATACCCACTCTGATTTAAAAAACTTTCAAAATGCTGTAATATTTTAGCATTTATGATGGCAATATATTTCATTCTGATTGTAGACAACATATTTTTGTATAAACGAATAGTTTTAAGCTACTATATTACATACTAAAATAATTACTGATCTGATTTGACATTTACAATTTACAATACATTTGTCTTAATTAAAATTCTAGGAATCATTATGTCATATTGTTTTTTTTTAAATATAGATAGACTTACACAACAATTCAAGAAAAGTGTGAAACGAAACAACACAACTAAAAACATTCACCCAAAACATCGTATGCACAGAAAACACGCACTAAGAGAAACAAATTTTCAGCAATTTTGTTCTGCATGCAAAAAAAAAAAAAAAACTTTCATCACGAGGAAATTGTAATGGCTTTTATAGAAAAAAATAATATGCAAATTTTAAAATTTTTGAATACTAAAAAGGGTACGATTTTTCAGACCTTGTAAAACTTTAACCAGTTGCTCTATCAAAAAGTTGTCGTGACAAAAGTTTTAATATTTAATGAAAAACAAGTCGTTTCAATTTGATTGCTATTAGTGAATAAATAAAAAGCCATAGAATTTTTTAAACTACCAAATAATTCAAAAATGGTGGATGCTTTTTTGGGGGTTTCCATGGCAACCAAAATTGTTTCCAGACAATTTTTTGCAGTTTACTTTCATGTGCCAAACATGGTAAAAGTATTCAAAAGGCTTTAGATCTCACATTGTAACACAATAGAAAAAAACGGAGCATATCCAAACAGATAAGATGTTGGAAAGTCTGTATATTGTAATAACTGCGTGGAATTTTTCTCTTGTTTCTAATTGACTGATTATTGCTCTTCCTTTAATGGAAAAGTCTTAATTAAAGTATTATATATATGTATATATATATATATATATATATATATATATATATATATATATATATATATATATATATATATATATATATATATATATATATATATATTCTCTCTCTCTGACACACACTTTTCTTTTTCTTCTTCTGCGTTCATAATTTTAGAGTTGATAGAGATTCTCTCCAACACAATCAAGTATACTTTTCAACTTGTTAAGCTTCATATAGGTCGTTGACTACGATTTTAACCTGCTTTTCTTTTTGGATTTGCTCCATTATAGTTTTTAGGGTGTGGTTTTGTCCACACTACCGCCTAGACTCCCCAGGGTGTTTTGTATGGTAGCCTTGAGTGTACAATTAACATCCTCCGTAATAGTGAGGAATAACACACCTCGGCGATCACCAAGTTGCAGGGCCGGCGCTACCTATACGGCGAACTAGGCGGTCGCCTAGTGTGCTGTCCGTAGGGGGGGGGGGGGGCAAAATGGGTTGGAAAAACAAATTGAAAGTTTGAGGGGGGGGGGGGGGTGCAAATCAAAAGTTTGTCCCCGGACGCCGGGAAGAGTCGCTGCGCCTCTGATTATACGGGTGCACGAAAAAATATAGCAAAGGGGGGGGGCGCTTTTAATAAGGGCGCTAATTAACCTAGCGCCGGCACTGCCAAGTTGTCAGGGGCATCGCAGGGCGCTCTCAATAGCAACCGGTTACATTACGCAGGGGCGCCGGTTAGAGCTCCTGGTATGGTTTAATGATCGAATGTCGTGTGCCAACGTGTCCCTATTGTAGAGTGCTCTTTTAACTTTTAACGAGCGAAGACGCCAAAGTGCTCAAGTAGGAACCGGGGAGTGTTAAATTGCACACTGCCGGGGCGTCGAAGGACACGCGTGATTTAATTTAGTGAACGACTATGTTAACCCATTTTATCCATAGCGAATAAGTGTTGAACACTTATGTGTGATTTGGAATTTGCCAGTATAGGACCATAATTTGTATTGGAATTTGAGCTTACTTCAAACCAGTGGCGTAGCTAGGTCGGGCGTCGGCCGGTGCGGCACTTCGTGGTGTCACCACCCCCAAGAAACAAAGTATATATATATATATATATATATATATATATATATATATATATATATATATATATATATATATATATATATATATATATCTTTATATATATAAATATATATATATATATATAAATATATATATATATATATATAAATATATATATATATATATATATATATATATATATATATATATATATATATATATATATATATATATATATATATATGTGTGTGTGTGTAAGCTTTAATCACTGCAGACGTAATAGTACCGATGTTTATCTTTAGTCTTTTAATAATACAGTTGGATGTAGCAATGTTTTCTCTATAGTTAGCACGTTTACGTCATGGTGTCCCCAACCTTTTGTTATAGTTGTCGATTTCTACATAAAAGACTATTTAACTTTAACTAATCATTAATGGAACTGGCAGAAAAACCTTTTTGTTCTGAAAATTTTGCAATTTTTGTGCCTTGATGTCACCCCTCTAATATGTGTCACCTCTCTAAATAGTGTCACCTGGTGCGGTCCGCACCCCCCCCCCCCCCCACCCTCGCTACGCCTCTGCCTCGAACAACAATTTTTTTGCGTAACTACCCACCGTGGCTAATTTGTTGTTTCCGAATTCAAATTCGTTAATTATTCCTTTTCCATTCATCAATATATGCAGCTGGGCTTTGCCTTCGATATAAATCTAATATGTCGGGGAGGACGACGGGCTCTCTCTTTGAGCGCGGACTCCCGTGAAAACTTGCCGTTCGTTGGTAGCTTCTCCTAATGACATAACTTAAGATATGCCCACATCTGGATCGTATTAGTTTCGAATATTTTTTTTTAGACACAACAACGTAGGATAATAACAGTCAAATAAGGTTATCATAAACAACGTTAGATTATTATTCTTTTAAATCACAATCTAAGCTAGGTTGATTGAAAACACAATTTGAAATCTGTTTTTTTTTCTTTAATTATTTTATTCATGGTCGGTACAGTGACGAGAGTTCGGAAAACAATGGTCTAGTCTATGGAATTTGAGATTTTATTTATTTCTAAATAAAGTTTATATAAAAACATATATTTAATTTAGTTTTCAAATTTAAGTAGTAAATTAATATTCTTGAATAAAAGTGGCAGATACATTATTTTTTTTTCTAAAAATCACATTTTGATAAAGTTGACACATACTATCATAACTCAGGTTCTATTGGTCTAATTCCCAAACCGTTGTTATCAATCAAATAAGCTTTACAAAAAAATTTAAGACTGATTAATTTTTCTGCTTGATGTTTCCAAGTTTCTCACCACTCAAGTCGCCGTGCCTGACCTTTGACCTCTCAGGTAGTAGACTTACAAGGGTCAGTGATGCCTGTATGCATTGAAATACATGGAAAGCTATGAGAATACATTTAAGGTAGTATGGCTAAAAGAGACACATTACACAACGACATTGTAACACTGAGCTTTTATATTTTTGTGTTTTAAAGGAGTCAAAAGTAGATTACAGTATGTCAATATGAGCGGGTGAATGGATGATTTTTTTTGTATTATATTTTTGTGTGCGAATCTGTGCGTGATTCTGGTCAAGTGGGCTGCGGCTACGGGGATTCCCCTTCCGCCCGAAGCGGGTATATAAACTGACCGCTAGGATCTTTCTTTCTTTTGACCCGAGTCAAGAATGTAGTTCTGGTCAGTTTCTGTGAAGGCGCTTGGCGCACCTCGTGCGTGGAGGTATTTGTTTTTTTATATTTTATTTGTATATTTGTGATTTGTATGAAAGCGACCGCCGATGTTTCTCGTTTTCTTTCTTTTTCGACTAAACATGATAGTGGGTTCGGCAGGTCTAGTACACATGTGGTGTGTTGATAAAGATTTGAAATTTAGTTTTGTATTTCTTACAACCCCTTGGCGTGTGTTTTGGACCACGTCAATATGAGTATAAGAGTTTCCTAAACTGGTTTGAATGCGTGTGTGCATTTTACTTGATTGTTATTTTGTTAGATTATAGTTAATCTAACAAAATAACGATGACTAAGTTTGGCTTAGTCACTAGTTGATTTTTCTTGGTGTTTTAGATAGTAATGAGGATATTTTAGTTTACCTCAAGGTTTAGGTTGCTTAAAAATTTATGTGTGTGATGTTTCTTGCAACGTCATGCTGAGTATCACTTGCTTTGTGTCTGCCTTCATTGGGGCCTTAGCCAGGTGTGTTATCTGTATTGTTATCAATGTGGATGTTGTGTAGGTAAACCAATGGCTTCGGGCTGCACTTTGTGTAGGATAAGTTGGCTCCACTATGAATATGTTTTACACTTTATTTTTTAATTTGCTAGTTCTTGATTGGAAAGTGATTAAATGTGTTTTAAGAATTGATTTTAGTATTGTAGGATTAGTGTTAGTAGTAGGGATTAGGATTTTACTCGAGGCTTTAGCTAGATATCCCTAGTAGTATTAGGTAGTATTTTAATCTGGTGTATATATTTATGTTTATATTTTCCATGCATTTTATTTATGTTTTCCTTTTCTTTTCTCCCCTCCCTTTCCAGTGAGGTTGCTTTTGCAACTTGGCTGGGTGTTTAGTATGTAGAGTTTTGTATGTATTGTTTTGTAAGTATTGTTTAGTATGTATTATTTTGTTTGTTGTTTTGTTTATGTAGCATGTGTGTCAGAGTCTAGACTATCCCAGGCATCGAAGGTACATAATATTTCATTGAATTTTGTGTGTTTTGTTTGTTTAGTGTTTGATTAGGATGTTTTGGATTTGAAATAGTTAACGTTTTTTTTTATTGTAGGTTCCATTTTTAAATGTAAATAAAACTATAAGCTTATTTATTTTTTGTGTTTTTTTATCTAGTCTAAGGTTAAGATTTAACCACCGTGGGTTTTACCACGGTTGCACTGACCGGACAGTTTTTTTTTTAGATAAGCCAGCCTAGGGAATAGTATACTAGTGACCCCCCCCCCCCCCCCCAGCAGGGCTTACATCAAGACCCCGGGATGGGTGAACTATGGACCGCATCGAGTGACATCATTCACAACAATTTAAGTTCAATATATATATATATATATATATATATATATATATATATATATATATATATATATATATAAAGAGCGAGAAAAAGAGAGAGAGAAAGATAAAAGAGAAAGAGTCATTTAAATGCATTAAAGCACAACCTATGGCATTAGTTTTGCCGTGATGACCTTAACTTACGTTCATTGGCTTGGTAGTCACACAAAACTGTGCTTCCGACAAGTTTAGTCGCGGTTTGGTTACGGGTCAGAGTAGAGTTGTGATGCCTAGGACATCTACATTCAAGCTAGTTCGGGATAACATGTCGATATTTACGTTATCTTTTACATTTACCTTTACAATTACATTTACATCGACATCCACATTTACACTTACATTTCACTTACGCTTGCACTTACACCTACACTTACACGTTCACGTTCAAACTCTCGCTTACAATGCTATTTTATCTATAAATATACCTATGCGAATGCATGTGCACTTACATTTGCACTTTCAGCTTCACCTGCATCTTTATTATCTTCATTTGCATTTACTCTCACACACGCAATTAGACACACTCATTCTTATACTTATTGCACCTTCCCTTCTTATACCGAGGACAAGAAACTAGTTCATCAGCCCACTGCATCTAGGTCTAAAAAGGATTCTTTTCTTACACTTTTACTCACGCTGATACTGAAATTTTCACATTCACACGTTCAATCTCATTCTCATACTCACAATTTGTATATACCTTTTAAAGGCACTTTTGTACATCATATTAACAATCGTAATGCCCAATCATCTTCCCAATTCTCTATTTACTCTCTTCTATTGTTTTACTCGTAATCTACTTACTGTGGTATATCGATCAGGAGCTACTTCCCCATAGTCCAGTGTGGCATTTTTGTTTTCACTGCCACACCATGGGATCTTGCAGGTCTGTTCACAGGTATATGCGCTGAGAATATATATATATATATATATATATATATATATATATATATATATATATATATATTTATATTTATATATTTATATATATATATATATATATATATATATATAATTTTCGGACTTTGACCGGTCAATGAGCGCTCTGGCCGACTTCGGGCTTTGACCGTAACATACATATATATATATATATATATATATATATATATATATATATATATATATATATATATATATATATATATATATATATATATATATATATATATATATATATATATCTGGCGTGTGTAGAGTGCCGGAAAAATCACAGGGGCAGGGGAGGGTGTCGTGCTTATACATCTATTTATAGGTCTATTAAAAGTTTCGATTCTTTAATCCTGTTACGTTACAAAGTGTAAGTTATGGCTTTCTATTTCCTACACAAATATGCTACATATTTTAAGAGATATTCATTTATATATATATATATATATATATATATATATATATATATATATATATATATATATATATATATATATATACTAGCGTACCCGTCCACGCGCGTTGCCGCGGGAATAGAAGAAAGTCTGACAAAATATATAAGAACGGTTACATCAATGCGGTACCAATCCTATATTCTTAGAACTTCATTTCTAAAACTGAGTTAGTTAAATGTAAACAATGCCTGCGCTTCGATCATTAATATTTGGGTACGAGTTTACCAACACTACCGCTTACGCTAATCACTCACCGAAATTATGAGGTAGAAAACAATTTGGTGACCGCCCATGTGTCATGGACGTAAAGGGGCACTCTCGGGAGCCCCCCCCCCCTCCCCTCCCGATTACACTACCGCAGACGCGCCGCGTACGGCCCCAGGCTCCTTAAAACTAACATAGGCGCCATAAAGCTCACATGATAACCCAGAGCACCACATAGCATCATGAAACAAGGATGCAGATTGCGTCATTCGCTGAAGTTACACAAATCAACAGGGTTTTTTCTTTAACACGTAAAATAAATTGACTGTTTATAAACATCAGTGTGACTGATGCAATTTGTTACGCTACTAATGGTTTATTATTAGATGTTCATCTCAATTTCTAATTGGATCGTCTAAAAATATATGTTGATTGCATCATTCGCAAAGTGACGAAAAAGTTTGGATTTTTTTACGGACAAAAGGAAACAACACAGTTAATAATCTAACCTTGATTAATTTTTCTGATTATTAAAAAATGCATTACAGGGCCCTCAGCGGCCCGTGTGAGCCTTTGGGGGCCAAAAGAGAAATTTTCGTTCACAGCCAAATCCAACCCTAGCAGGGCACCGGAAGACATGCCTGATTCAATTAGTTGAGCGACTGTAAATTCCCGTCTTATCCATTGTCTATCACACTGTTTAGAACGAACGTAGTCGCAATAGAGGTCACGGGAAAGACCAGGGGGCCAAAGCGCATCCTGCTGGGGACAGCCAGTTCGAAATTTAATTTCCCCCCCCCCCCCCCAGAAACCTTCTCGGGAGAATTTATCAACTCCCTCATGTTTTATGGCACTCAGATAAACGGTGTCCAACACCATATGACTTTCATTATTTTAATATATCGTATATTGAGAAGAAGTGCATCCTCCCGGGCCACCACCCCTGCGAAATTAAAAATGTTTTTTTTTAGCAGAAACCTCATCCTAGGTTGTGTTCTCATCAACGTCCAAAAGTTTGATGGCAATCGGATAAACGGTGTCAAACCGCAATCGACTTTCATTGTTATATACCGAATATTGAAAAAAAAACCTTGACTGGGCGCCGCCCCTATGAATTGGGATTTTTTATTTCGCAGGAACCTTCCCAAGCGTATTCTCAACAACTTCCTAAAGTTTCATGGCGTTAGGATGAACGGTGTCGAACCGCAATTGGGATTTTTTTTTATTTCGCAGGAACCTTCCCAAGCGTATTCTCAACAACTTCCCAAAGTTTCATGGCGTTCGGATGAACGGTGTCGAACCGCAATTGGGATTTTTTATTTCGCAGGAACCTTTCCAAGCGTATTCTAAACAACTTCACAAAGTTTCATGGCGATCGGATGAACGGTGTCGAACCGCAATTGGGATTTTTTTATTTCGCAGGAACCTTCCCAAGCGTATTCTCAACAACTTCCCAAAGTTTCATGGCGTTCGGATGAACGGTGTCGAACCGCAATTGGGATTTTTTTATTTCGCAGGAACCTTCCCAAGCGTATTCTCAACAACTTCCCAAAGTTTCATGGCGTTCGGATGAACGGTGTCGAACCGCAATTGGGATTTTTTTTTTCGCAGGAACCTTCCCAAGCGTATTCTAAACAACTTCACAAAGTTTCATGGCGATCGGATGAACGGTGTCGAACCGCAATTGGGATTTTTTTTATTTCGCAGTAACCTTCCCAAGCGTATTCTCAACAACTTCCCAAAGTTTCATGGCGTTCGGATGAACGGTGTCGAACCGCAATTGGGATTTTTTATTTCGCAGGAACCTTTCCAAGCGTATTCTCAACAACTTCACAAAGTTTCATGGCGTTCGGATGAACGGTGTCGAACCGCAATTGGGATTTTTTATTTCACAGGAACCTTCCCAAGCGTATTCTCAACAACTTCCCAAAGTTTCATGGCGTTAGGATGAACGGTGTCGAACCGCAATTGGTATTTTTTATTTCGCAGGAACCTTTCCAAGCGTATTCTCAACAACTTCACAAAGTTTCATGGCGATCGGATGAACGGTGTCGACTTTAATTTTTATATACCGTATATAGAGAAAAAATAAATCGCACCCTCCCGGGTCGCCACCCCTTGCTTTATATATATAAATATATATATAAATATATATAAATAAATATGAGCTAAAGTGTAAGAACCCCAGTGTTACCTTTTACCATAACCAATGTAGATGCGATGGCTATTGTCAACTGGACATCGAGTGCCCTTGCCACATAAGCATCTGTAGGTAGTCCGATTATGGTTGCATTGAGGACCGTTGAAAGCTTTGAAGTGATCAAAAAAGTATGCGCAGATAGATCTTGGCTGACATGTTGTATTCTCATCTTCCTGACAAGATAGTTACAACATAAACCTACTTGAGTATGTGTATGAGTATGTATGTATGCTTAGAACTATGCACGTGTAAGTGTATTTGCACTGTACGTACTCATTAGCATGTTTTATAAAGTTTTATTGTTATACAAGATTTGCCTTTTGTATATATATAGACCTTCAATTTACAGTATTAAATGTTAACTATAATATAGTTATAGTTCCGTTGCACACATACACAAACACATACACATACACACATACATACATATATACATACATACATATATACATACATATATACATGCAGACATACATACACTCTATATATATGTATGTATATACGAATATATATATATATATATATATATATATATATATATATATATATATATATATATATATATATATATATATATATATATATATATATATATTTATATATTTATATATATATATATATATATATATATATATATATATATATATATATATATGAAAAGATTATAACTAAGGACTTTCAATATACCGACTCCTTCCCTTCGCCCGATCTAAATCTTATATGATAAGGAAACAGATCAGTTTTAATCCTTCCTTTAGCCGGGTTCTCCTCATAATTCGCACCATCCTCTGACAAAATACCACACATAACCGGCATCTCTCTCCTCATCCGGCTCCCTCCTTCTATCGGCTCTTAATCTTAGCTAACACCCTCAGCAAGTTTACCGTCAGCTGGCGCTCTACTTTCGAGCTTCGAAACAAAACAACTTATCTGTTTTGGTAGGATCTGACACACGTACAGCCCCAGATCAATAATATTTTTAATAATGCTCACATATAGGACAAGTGTCCCACAGTCGGTTGGACCACTCCAGCCAGGATTTGGGTAGACCACAACCAATAACATAACTGCCAACTTCAATACCTCGAGAGTTTTTCCTTCAATCATTCTGTTCGGTTTATGTTTTTAATTAAAAGATAAAAAGATTAATAACACTACAATAAAAACAAAAATAACAATCTTAATGACACCAATCGATAACCGTAAATAAAATTGGAATGAGAATTAATAAAAATAAAATGATAATCTTCAGACCATGCTTTATACTGCACGTAAAGAGAAGTGGGGTGATTCATTGTATTTTTAATTTCTTGTATCTATTCATGATGAAAAAAGAAATTTTCTCTAAACTGACGTGGCACTTCACGTTTTTTTTAAAGCACTCATTTACATATTAAACAGATGTAGCAGTTATCTCGCGTTTTAAAGATGTTTTTAGAGCTTTTAAAACGTATGTAATGGATTCTATCTTGACAAAGATTGGTAAATGTTATTTTAGAAAAAAAAATGTGATTTCAAAGTTTTAAAAGAAGGTGAGGTGTGACGATGAGACATCTTTGTATGAACCCTCCCCCCTACCTTAAAAATAATTAAGGAATAAACAAAATGAATAATTATTTTTACCTTGTAGTCAGGAGCTAATGAAGGAAGATTCCACTAGTTACACTTTTGGTGCCGATAACTTTGAATGATACAAAAACACTTGTTAGCTACCTGATTGGTGTGGCGTGCAAACACAGAGTGAGCTAGGTGGAGAAGTGCGCATCATGTGGCGACCTAAATAAGGGGATTGGGAGGAGCTTATTTCACAAAAACAATAGATTGCGCAATAGTCCTATCTTTCTACATTAAGCCTTTTAAGAATCATGGGCTATCAAGCAGATTTAAAAAAAAAATTTTTTTACACACTTATCGGTAAAAAGAATAGTAGGTTCCAAAACTTTTCTTCAAGTTCATAAATCAATACTTTTTACTTTCTCGTATATACGAAGTATAGAGAAAGTATTGTAATCGTGCACAAAAATCACTTGAAATTTTAACAATTTTCACCGTATTACACCTCAGTCCTTCATCACATCCGAAGTATAGAGGACTTATTTTAATCGGGCAAAAATTATCAATCCAGATTTATCAAAATTAAGAGGTTTTATTCGTAATCCAGTCTGAAAAACTGGGTTTTGCAATTCTGTCCGTATGTCTGTGTGTCTGTGTGTCTGTCTGTCTGTCTGTCCGTGTGTAAACACGATAACTTGAGTACCGTTACAGCTAGGTTGATGAAATTTCATATATAAGTATTTTATTAAAATCGTAGATCCGTATCAACTTTTGAGCGATTTCCGATAACCGGAAGTGGTACTTTTCCTACTTTGAATTTTTCAAAAGCCTATAACTTGAGTACTATTTCAGATAGATAAATGAAATTTCACATGTAAGTAAAAGATCTAATTCTCTACCTTCTGTTAAATTTTGAGTAATTTCCGTTGACTGGAAGTAGTAATTTACGCTACTTCCGACTTCTCAAAAAACTAATGTAAATTTTAAAAGTACTAATAATATTGCGCATTATTATGCGCTTTTTTATTTGGCCTTCACTTGGTGTGCAATTAATTTGTCTACTAGATTTTATTCTATTTTTAAAACTTTAAGTATTTAAAATGGATTAAAAATAATGTCTTTAGCCCAAGTTCCCATCCCCTGTTATTTTATATAAGAATATTCGAGAAAGTTTAGGGGAGATCACTCCCGGTTTATTAAGCTTCCTGTTTATACAGCAAGGGGGGTTTAAAAAAAAAGTTATGCGATCCATCCCTGTTGTTTTTTCATTGTAAAAGTGATTGTAGATTTAAGTGTTTTCCCGTTTTTTTAATGTAAAAAAGACATTGAGCTGTAGTTAGAAAAAAATAGTTTTTAATAATAAGCTTTTAAAAGCACTGAATATTAAAACAACTGTTTCACCGCCTTACAATATATAATCGAGCAATCGAGCAATCGCTAGCATTTAATAGTGATAGCTCCGCTTTAATTTATTAATCTTTTAATTAACTTTTAATGAATAATCAAATGCCTAATTATAAAAAAATTAAATATTGTTGAAAATTATCTGATATTGACATATCTAAAAAGACTGAACAAAATCATTGCAGTAGAAGGGAGTGAAAATGAGTTACAAAATTCGGAACAAATCCACAAACAGGTATTGTGAACTAACTACATTCTTTTTAAAAAACAAATCGTTGTTTATGCTCGTAGTTTCATTAATGAGAGCTGAGTGAAGTGTTATAGAACATTACAAATTCCTCCATACATGTTATCCATCCTGTTTTCAATGGCTTAATTTGTACATAGATCATAGCTTCATTTTTTTCTTTCACTGTATACACTCACAAGCACCAACACATTCACAACAACAAAACAATTCCAAAACAAAATTATTAACTAAATAAATGACTGAGATCTTCTAGTTAAATATACAGTAGTATGTCACTGTAACACAGTTTTAAAAATAAAACATAAATGAAAAGCATTTCTAATAAATAAGCTTCTCTTCTTCTTCGTTCTTAATTTTAGTGTTGGAAGGGATCCACTCCAACACAATTAAGTATACGTTTTAACTGGTTATGCGCCATTGAGGCCATTGACTCCAATTTCAGCCTGCTTTTGTTTTTGGATTTTCTTCCATAGCAAAATGTGTCCAACCAAGAACAAACTACAAGGCAGCAGTTGTATGATTTTGGAGTTGTCTCTCCTAGAAGAGTAGCTGTCTCCAGCTAACAAGCCTCATCTGCCCGAAATAAGATAAGTTAACGTGACATTGATTACGACTGAAATATAGTAGGTTGCAAAGACAGTTATCTGCCTCTTCTTAGTCCAGAGACGAAGCTGAGACAAAAAAAAAACTTTCAGCTTGGAGTACACAATACCATCGTATGTACAATCACTGAAATAGGTAAACTCTACTTCATCTGGACTACGAAAGTTCAAAATGGTACTTTAATTACAACAAGCATACTTATACGTTTATGTTTACACGCTCGCGAAACATAAACACGCCAACACCGAAAAAAATATAGGCGCATACTTACGCACGCACACTCACACATAGGTACACAGGCATACGCAAACATACATGTATACATACGCACACACATACACACGCGTACTCTTACACATACATGCACGCACACACACACTCACATCGAGGTGCAAAAGCATATGCAAACATACATGTCCAACTACGCACACACATGTATGTTCGTAGGCATACACGTAAAGAGTTACGTTCACAACTTCGCTTATACTCACACACAGAGTCAAACAATAACACACACATCTAAATACATACACACGTAAAATCGTATGCACAGAAAGCACGCACTAAGAGAAACATATATGCAGAGTCGCATGCACATACATGTACACAAATACACAATTCGGACACATGGACATACACACACGTATATACATAATACTTTACCAGTAAGGTTGTAATACTTGAAAGCCTTTTTGTGGTTTTTGTAGATACTTCAACACTGTTATCATCAAGCTATTTCAGCAAGGTCCACTAGTTTTAAATATCCATCGATGCACCCGAGACAAAGACATACAACTATTATTTGTTCTTTGATGTAGCATCTATTCATCGAGCACACGATACTAAATCGAATGTGGAAATTTCACATACACGCACGTACACAAACATATGGGAATACACACAAAAGCAGACACACTTACACACTTGCAAACATACGCAACACAGACATACAATTACGCACGCAAACACAAACTCGTATTTACACAAGCAGATACATTTACACAGACCTAGACACATATACCCTTTCTACGTACACGTCCACCGCAAACAGAAACACATACCAATGCAAATACATACGCACATATGCAATAGTATGCAAATTTATATATATATATATATATATATATATATATATATATATATATATATATATATATATATATATATATATATATGTATATATACAGATGCATGCACAAAATAAGCTAACAATCCCGTACAAGCAAACGCAAGCACACATACACACAAAAGCACATTTGAATACACTCGCACATACACGCTAACACACACAAAATCGCACGCACATAGATTCACACACTTTTGCAAACTCTAACGAACACACATACGCACAATCACAAACATAAACACAAACACACAAGTACCGATAAGCACACGCATTGGCACACGCACAAAGACAAGCACCCGATGTACATTATTTCTGTATAGCTTAATCAAACAAATTAGTTCAGCAAGGTTCATTACTCTTAATAATAGTCTAATGAACTTCAGAAAAAGTCTGCTAGTGCAAACACAAAAATACATTATTGAAACAAAATCATATTTTAGATACATTTTAAATATTCCTAAAATACGTGTTAATAACAAGATTTTATGTTAAAATGCACTAAAAAGTAGAAAATAAACGACACACGACTGTATAAATAGATTAAAAGAAAATCGTGGGTCGCTTTATTATCTATTAGATACCTATACTAATATTTTGGAAGAGACCCACGCTTTTCTTTATAGCTATTTAAATAGTTGTGTTTCGTTTATTTTCTACTTTTTAGTGCATTATAACATATAAGCTTGTTATTAAAACGTTTTTACAAGCTTTTATTTAACTTGCTTTCTCTGTCTGTTGTCTGTCGTCAGTCGTCAGTCTATCTAGATCGAAACGCCCGAGCGAAAATTCGTGCACTTCTAACTGATAGATTCGATTCAAAGTTGGCTTGCCGGTCAAGACATGAAAACAATGCAAAATGAGTTCATTGAATGCCAAATTCATTTTTTTAATTAATTAATTAAAGCGTGGGTCTCCTGTATAATATTAGAAAAAGTATCCAAAATAGAATAAAGTGACCCAGGCTTTTTTAAATAGTAATTTAAATAGTAGTGTATTATTATATATTTTATTTATCATTTTCAAATAATTTATTTTCTACTTTTTAGTGCATTATTACAAGCACTCTCAAATTTAGGATTAAAAATACAATTATGTCAATCTAACAGGATATGCAGTAAATATAAAACTGGTGTTTTAAGTGTTTCATATGTATGTATGTGTGTATATACGTTTAATGTAACGTTTTCATGTATTTCTGGATGATTTGAGCAAGAGTAGTGTGTATGTGTGTATGTATATCTACATGTTTAAGTGTATATATACCAGTGTGTGTGTGTGAGAATGAGTATATACATGTGAGTGTGTTCGCGTGTGTGTGATCGTGTATGTACATTTGTGTTTAAGTCTGTTAATGTGTGCGTGTGCTTGAGTATTCGCGAGAAAAGCCTCCAACTCGATAATGTTCATACACTCATACATTTTGCTATTAACCCCTTGAGAACTAAGAGGAAAATGTATTGTATAGTTTAAAATGATCACCAAATAAAACTGTCACGTTTGAAAGGTATTGAAACTAAATTATTCAAAATTTGGTATTGAGAAATACAATTAAATTTAACAATTAAATGTAACGGTACTTAACCACACCAAATTTTGAAAATTGGAAAAAATATTTAATTTTTTTTTTTTTAAATAACAAGCTAGATGACTCTAATAAATTTAGCAAACGAAGGATCAATGATTATTTCATGAATACATTTGTTAGTTTTTGAACTTTAAGATCTGCAAAAAAGGTTGTTTCTTTCAAGATTGGTGCCATTGCCATGGTAACCATATTTTCTCATTACCCTGTCTGATAGAGAGATGTT